TCCTGTGAGGGTCTAGCTCAGAAACAGTTGGTTATCCCCCTAAAGGACTTTTAGGTTTCTGCTATTTATCCCATATGTTTCACCGTTGTAGAAAAGCCTGAAGTTCCAGGTGAAACATCTCATATTATATAGGCTGCCTGTGTGTTTCTGACCTGAAACCTGTCCTGTTCCCCCTCTTGTTGTAGCAGAGGTGGTGGTTTCAAACCTCCATCGTATCCGGCTCCGCAGTAACAGCACCGGCACCAAGCACTCGTCTCCAAGGGAGGGCGGGGTGCCCCGTCGGTTCGGGCACCAGCTGGAAACCCCCGAAAAGCCCCGGGTGCCCTCGGGGGGCAAGGTCCCCAAGTCCGCCTCTGTGTCAGCCCTGTCGCTCATCATCACCGCTGGTAACGCTCGCACCCGCCACCCGCGTTCTAACGAACTGCTGCCCCTGAGCTTGGAGGCCCTTTCTGTTGTCTTCAGAGTTTTAAGATAAGATCACTTTATAAGCCATATACGATTTCTTGTATGAGGAATTTGTCTTATCGGATACCCCAGTTTGCCCTCCATGAGAAACACAGACACGCAGACAGGGAGAGAAGCTGGGGGTCAGAGCGCAGGGTCAGCCATTTATACGGCACCTCTGGAGCAGTTGGGGTGAAGGGTCTTGCAGATTTTACTTTCCTTGGGGATTTTCAGTGGGTTGCGGATGGGCTCTCGTCTGAAATCCTCTGCTCGGAGATCTAGAGGGAGAGGAGTCTGCCTCCTTTCCTCCAGAATCTGAACGTCCACTTGGTAGCGGAGGAGTATTGCCCTGTCGTGCCCTTTGACCCATGTCCCCGTCCCTCGTTTCTGCCTCTTTGCTCAGACGACGGAGGCGGCGGTGGCGGGCCCCTGGTGAGCCCCATCTCCCCCCACTCCCTCTCCTCCAACCCCTCCTCGCGCGACTCCTCCCCCAGCCGCGACCTCTCCCTCAGCATCAGCAGCCTGCGGCCCCCCATCATCATCCACAGCTCGGGCAAGAAGTACGGCTTCGCGCTGCGGGCCATCCGCGTCTACATGGGGGACAGCGACGTCTACACGGTGCACCACATGGTCTGGGTGAGTGTGCCTCGGTGTCCACTTCCTGCTCCCCCGCGAGCCTCCGCTGTCGTTTCTCACAGCACGGCAGGAGAAACGGACACGCCTGCCGCCGTGCAGTGCTTCATTTCCTGTGGTGCCAGCTTGTGTGCAAAAATCATAAATGAGTCTTTTCTGTTTCGGCTGTGCAGTCTTTGTAAGCTGCAGCTTCATGACGCGTGCTCCTGATCGGTAGTGTCACGCTCTCGTTTGCGGATATGACTGAGAGAAAGGTCTGCCCATCAGAGCTGTCGACTCTTGGGGCAATGTGTGCATGTGATGTCTTTCCTTTCCTTCTTACTGTGTTTCCTGGAATGCAGCAGATTCTGCTTTGATTGTAAACACTAGTTTATTTGTATTACGTTTCACATCTAAAGACCATTCCTTTGGGATGTATTTTCCACTGAAGTGGAAACGTTTCCCATCTTCTGAGAAGGTGGGGCTCTGCAGACCAGATACCACTGGTTCACGCCTGGTCCGGGTCTGGCCAGGATTCCCCAAGCAGAGACACCATTGCACTGGGTGTCTCAAGAGCCGGGTCAGTCAACCTGTGTCTCTCAGCTCCTGGCTCGGCCTTGACTACGGCAATTTAGGCTGGTGCCTGCAGGGTTACACCAGTGATGTCTGGGAGAAAAGCTCAGATCCTCCAATCAGTTCTTGCAGCACACAGTGCAGAGCTAGCAATATAAAAAATAAAACGAACAGCAGCTACAAGTCATGAAACAGTTGGCGGTTTCAGATTGGGGTATATGCATAACAAAGGAGCTGATTCCAGATTTTTGCTTTTTATTTTTTGATGAAAGGTCTTGCCTGCAAAACATTTATTCATAAAAGAAAGTTAAACCATCTTTTCTGATGTTTAAAACAATATTTTTCTCTTCAAAAGGATAAATAAGGTTTTAAAGGGGACATACAGTAATATTAGACGTGGTTAGCTAGTGGTTTTGTTCGCAGATTTTGAAGGAAACTTTCAGCACCTCTCCAAGCCAGTTGGGCTGTCTTGCCCTTTTAAAGAGGATGGCAGCACAGTTCCTCTTTCCCAGACCTGCGGTACTCTCTAAGGTCACACACAGTGCTCCGTGTTTTTCACTTTGCAATTTTCAGCGAAATAACTCCCCCTCCGCAGTAATTAACAGTTAAGTCACCTCTAGATCCTAATGAGGCATATTCCTTGCACTGCTGTATTTTTATCAGGCCATTAAGTTTGTAAATTCTCCATGTGTGAGTCTAAACCTCATATAATGCAATTTCCTGCTTTGTAGGAAATGTATCGGAGTGCCTCTTGACAGAAGGCGTGTGAAATGGAGAACTCCAGGTCAAATAAGGCAACTGAGGAATACAGTGCAGGTTGAACAGGTTCAGGATTAAGCAGTCGATGTCATTTGTCACTGCTGAGTTCGGTGTACAGATAAGGCAGAGCGATTGGCTGATCGTTAAAGCTGGAGCCCGGCTTGGAGGAATCTCACTGTGCTCTTTGCCTCGGCAGAGTGTGGAGGAGAGCAGCCCGGCCCACGAGGCAGGGCTGAGGGCTGGAGACCTCATCACCCACGTGAACGGAGAGTCTGTGCAGGGGCTGGTGCACATGGAGGTTGTGGAGCTGCTGCTGAAGGTACGAGCTGAGGGTGGGGAGGTCAGCCTTTCTGCAGCTCGCTTGCAAGAAGTGGACAAGTGTTAAACGCTTAAGATGAGGCGTCTATTATTATCCATCTATAAATTAGTCTATTACCATGTTATTAATGAAGTCATAACAGGCTGTAAAAATGATTGCGTGCGCCTAGGGCATGGCGTACAGTTTATCTACAGTGGAATCTTAACTATCATGTCTATGAAAAGAGACTAAAGCCAGTCCCATGCATGTCTGCCCCAGGTTAGTTTGATAAGTGAAATTTAAGGACATTAAGCCTGCCTCGTTCACCCGTTCTTAAAACAAACTTTAAATACTGGGATCTTCAAAATTGTGCCTTGTTTTCCACAATTCCACAACCCCTCTTGGCCAGCATATTCACATGTGATACCACCCACCAGACCCCGACAACTGTTCAGCTTAACACTTGATAAAACCGACAGTGAAGTACTGCAGTCACTTTTGTTTCACCGATTTCATTAAGCAGTTTTAAGTGCCAACAACTTTTTGATTTTAGCGATTCTGTGCTTTTTAAGATGCGTAGAGGGTAAAAATCCTTGACCATTAGCATGGTCCACACTTAATTAAATGAAAGGGTGTAATTGCAGGTCAAGCATATGAATTGAATGTCTTTCTGTGGGCACAGAGTGGAAACAAAGTGGCCTTGCAGACCACAGCGCTGGAGGACACCTCGATCAAGATCGGGCCAGCCAGGAAGACCAGCTGCAAGGGGAAGATGGCACGCCGCAGCAAGAAGAGCAGGAAGAGAGAGGGCCAGGACAGGTCAGGCACTGCCCACAGCGCCGACAGGCTGGCACACCGGCTCCCTCTAGTGATGAGCTGGGGTTTTGCAAGCCGATTTCCCTTTGTTCAGATGTGTCTCCCTTTCCATTCCATTATAATCTATTCCAGTGATGAGGGTACCAATCAACTAGTAAAACTATAATTCCAGGCCCTGAGACATCCATCCATCTGCGTTACCTGTAACTGGGCAGATGAAGAAATTCAAATTCAAGTTCTTCTCCTGCTGTGCTAACTGCACCTTTTCGCGGAAAGGAAAAACAAGCTCCCCTGATCACAATGTCCAAAAGAAACAGTGCCACTGCTTAGGAGGCGCGTTAAAATCGTTTTAATGCTCTGCTTTTCTACTTTGTTGTTTTCTTTACAGAACTTGAAAGTGAAACACTCAGGCCTGTCTTAATGTTCCTTTTTTAGAACGGATGAGTGGAAATTGAAGTTGAAAGGGCAATGTCGCAGAGTTCGTCGTTTCATTTAATGGATGTTGTGCGTGTATGAGTCAGAATGTATTAACTTTACCGCTATCTAACCTTCAGTTAACCACTGGAGGTTTAATGTAGGCATCCTGTGTGCCTCTATGAGACTAAGAAACTGTCCAGACTTTTTCCATGATGTGAGTTAAGTTAGGCACAAAGTTTTGTAAGACCCCGGCTCCAAGCCCGTGTCTTGTGCCCTGCAGCCGCCGCCGGGCCATCCTGAAGAAGCTGTCCAAGCAGGCCACGGTGATGCACACCAGCCGCAGCTTCTCCTCCGGCCTGCACCACTCGGTCTCCTCCAGCGAGAGCCTGCCGGGCTCCCCCACCCACAGCCCTGCCCCCGAGGGGGCCGCCCCGGGTGAGTCCCCGCCCCCCGCAGCGCAGGGCCTGCAGGGTGGCGCTGGAAACAAACAGGGTTTCGTTCAAAGCTATGAAGAGAGGCTGAGCTGAGCTTGTCTGGGGTCTGCGAGTTCCAGTTTTGGGATCGTGAAGTTTTCGTGTTTTGAGGGCAACGTCAAACAGGGTTTGTGCATGTTTGAAAGGAGCATAAGTTGCAAATCTTACTACTGTGTGGTACAAAATATAAAGCTTCCCGACAGCACATTGAAGCAGTTCTGTATATGACATCTCTGTAGTCAAGTAGGTGAGGTCAAGTTGAAATGGTTCAGTGTTTTTAGCTGTTCACGTCGGGGCATGATATAAGTTGCTGTGCAACTGTAGGATTGTTGGATAGCAAGGAGTTGTCACCCCCCACGTGCTTCATGTTCAAGGGCCTGTTCCTCCAGTTCACTCACTTTTCGTTCTCACATGTAGGGAGTCTCCAGACGAGCCGTATTTCCAGCCTTTGCCAGGAAGAATCTGGCCTAGTTTGTCAGAAAACCTGCTGAGCAAGTTTTGATTCTCTTTGTGATGTTGTGGAGGAGATTAAAACCGGGAACAGACGTCATGGAGAAAAATACTTCAGGAAAGGAAACAGATTAAAAGATCTGGAGCTAGAATTTTTTTTTTAAATGAACAGGTAAAGGTTTATTCCGTGCTGAAAGGAAAAGGTTCAGGTGAAGACCTGAGGAAGTCTCCACAGCCAAAATGTCTCTTTTCCTTTTGGCATGGAATAAACCCTTGCAGTCTAAGCATGTTCACGCAGCTCCCTACTTGGACGTCTTGTTTCCAGATTCCTCAGTATTCCATGTGCTGGTACAGATGGTCACCGCGGAGCTGTGCTGCAGCCTGTATCTCACAGCCTGTGCTGTTGCCTGCGCCTGGTGGTGTCTGACTTTCTCTGGATGTTGCCTCTGTCCCCAGATGCGAACTCTCCCCAGAGCACCTCGCCCTGTTCCAGCTCGCCCAGCTCGCCGGCCACCCACATCCGGCCCAGCTCGCTGCACGGCCTGGGTCCCAAGCTGGGCGGCCAGCGCTACGTCAAGGCGGGCCGCCGCAAGTCCACCAGCAGCATCCCGCCATCCCCGCTGGCCTGCAACCCCTCGCCGCAGCCCCCCTCGCCCCAGCGCTCGCCCTCCCCGCTCCCCGGCCTGGCCAAGCCGCTGCACTCCTTCCACGGCAAGGCGCTGTCCCCGCCCACCCTGGCGCGGCACGCCGTCCGGCCCCGCAGCGCCGAGCCGCCCCGCTCCCCGCTGCTCAAGAGGGTGCAGTCGGCCGAGAAGCTGTCCGGGGCTCTGCAGCGGGACAAGAAGAGCTACACCCCTCGGAGGCACACGCTGGAGGTGCCCAACAGGGACGGGGAGACCCTCGGAGACTCGGAGGGCGAGGGCGCGGCCAGCGGCCCGTACCTGAGCGACCACGGGCGGCTGGGGTACCTGGGCGGGCAGCGGCTGCGGGACTGGGCGGGCGACAGGCCCGAGGACGTGGTGGTGATGAGGAAGCTGAACCTCTCGGAGCGCCGGGACTCCTTCAAGAAGCAGGAGGCCGTGCAGGAGGTCAGCTTCGACGAGCCCGAGCCCGGGCCGGCCGAGACGCAGGAGAAGCCGGGCCGGGGCCCCGCCCCCGGCGCCGGCGGCCGGCCCCAGTTCAGGGCCTCGTGGGTCGAGGCCGGAGCCGAGCAGGGCGAAGAGGCAGTGGGGAGGAGGGCGGCTCTCGTGCCCCAGATCGCGGTGCAGGGGTCGGAGAGCGAGGAGCTGGACGAGCATTCGGACGAGTGGGGGGGCCCATCTGAGGGGGAGGAGGAGGAGGAAGAGGGGGAGGAGCAGGGGGCGGCCGGGCGGCAGGAGGTGGGAAAACTCCTGGCAGGGAGCTCCAGCCGCGCAGTGGAAACGGCATCGAGCAGCGGGGGCGTTCAGTGGATCACCCCCGGAGGCAGAGGGGAGGGATTGCCAAGCACAGGACATCGAAAAGACCAGCGGAAGGAGTAAAGCAAAAAGAGAACAGCCACATCCCAAAGGATACCATCCCCGATTTCTGAAGCGAGGAGCTCCAGCTGCCTGCGAGAGAGATCCTTTGACCGGAGAGCGTTTTCTGCCGAAAAGAAAGTGTTCCTTATGTCATTTTTGTTTTTATTTAAAAAGTTTCACCCCCACCCCCCCTTTGGATTCCTTCTAAGTCTTTATAAATATTTACAGAAAAATAGCTATTGTGGTGTAGCTGGACAGTTTTCCAAATATATTTATTACTTTTGTAAGCTAAAAGGATTTTTAATGGGGCCAAAAAAAGGTGATTCACATGGTATTTTAAATGGAATGTGTTTTATTACGCATAATTTTTTTAAGTGTTTTATATCGGATGTGGAGTGAAACATTACCTCTGCTGATTTGCTTTTCTATGTGGGTGTTTATAAACAGGAATAAATGCATAGAGAACATGTCATGGTACTAAATACTAAAGCTGCCATTGCTGTTTGTACTTTGCTCTAAAAAGCAAAACAGGACAGATTTTCTTTAAGCAGAATGCTTGAAAGTAACCTTCCGCCAGGGGAGATCTTTGCATTGGAGGAGGAGTACAAAATCAACATTGGAAGTCCATGCTATCTACTTTTTTTAAAGGTGGCACTTTAAAAGGACATACTTCATAGGAAGTAGAATGGTTTCGGTCATTGCTATGATGCGTGCCATTTGGCTACCGCGGTAACATTCGTTTTGTGCTGTTGGTTAAGCAAGCCAGGAGCAGCTCAACAGCCTTGCAGTGTTTCGACGGTCAGGAGGGGAGTCCCCCGCTTTCCGGCAGAGCTCACACAGTGCACCGCTTCAGAGCCGTGTGAGGCGGGGGGTGGTGTCCACTTCATTTTCAGGAGAAGAAGGAGATGGGATTTTGCGCCTTCTGAGATTTGTCAGAAAACGTATTCGCACTCGTCTCCCTGTCTTGGCGCGGTTTTTTCCCCAGCCTGTGTGTGGAAAGCGAGACTTTTCCGATCTGTTCAGCAGGGGGTACCAGCAGAAATGACTTGAGGCTTTGGAATTTATCTGAATGGTCACCCAGTGACCAGAAATAGAAATGGGGAAATAGGTGAATATTACCTTCTGATAATGTTTTTTTTTTTAAAAAAAAAGGAACTTGTCAACAACTGCAGTAATGGATTTGAAGAACAACCTTAACTTAATAGTGTGATAGAAGGTGACATGCTATTGATGCGAATTCCTGCATAAGTCCTCCCTCCTGATCCAGAGCAAACAGTGAAATTTAGTCCAAATTGCACAGAAGTAAATGGCAATGAGAGATGTACCAGTCCTGCTCTTTGATGTTGCCCAGCTAGATTAGAATTTTAATATCTTCAGATGTTTGTGCTTAACCAGAGTATGTCACAACACTCACTATGTGCGTCTCCTTAATAGCAGCTCACTGTACCATTGGACCAATGTTAGATGCCTGGCATCCTGAATTAAAGAAATGAAGAGCAGTAGGATGTTGTATCTTTTCTATCTTTGCACGTTTTAAACTGTTCCGTGACAGGGTTTGAAGCAAACTGCATTAGTTTGCACCTCAAAGGGCTCCTGTTTTGCTTGTGACCTTTACTTTTAGTAGTTTAAAGCTAGATGTTTAGCACGAAAGCTTTTTTTTTTAGATCTTAGTTCCCTGTATAATTCTCCCCCTATACTTCCATGTAATGTAGAATAGTTGGGAGTTCCGCAGATGCCTCCAGTCCTGTGCAATATTAATTCTGTCCAAGTCTTTCATTAGTTTGGATTTTTTTTTTTTAATTGCAACAGTCATGGTAAATGAGTGGGTTAACACCTTCTCTCCTAGCAACAGTGTCTGAAATCTCAATGCCATGATTGGCCCTACATGTACAAAATACACTTGTCCTGTTCTAAAGGTGGTTTAGAACAAAGTTGTAATATCACACAAGTGTAACTTCCTGTGAACCGCCTTTTAAAGGCTGCTGCTATTGCTGAAGAATCTGAGGCAGGTTCTCTGCATCAGGCTGCAAGGTCAGGGCATGTATAACAGTTTTGTGCAAAAAAAAAAAGCAAGAGTTTTGTCTTTAAATGGATGGTGGAGTGTTTTGTGCGGTTTGTTGAAAATGAACCCCCCCCCCTACACAAGAGCTTTTTTTCCCCAGGAATCCAGGTGGCATACATATCACACCTGCTGTGCAGTCGAGCATCGCCGTAGCAGAGTGCCGAGGAGGGTCACAGCTGGAAGCTGCTGAACTGAAGCAAGAGGGCAATGACAGCCTTTTGCGCAAAATCAGTCTGCAACCCTACGTGCGGGCAGCCGTCTGAAATGGCGAAGGCTGACCGGCCTGTAACACCTGCTCTCCCCCCCAGACCTGGCTGTCTGTTGTACCTGTCCTCTGCTCCGCCCTGGACGTCGCCCAAGCCTTCCCCTTTCCGTACTGTTCGATACGGATTGATGTTTACAGTCGGAACACGCTCACGTAGCACGCGGGCTATGCTCACGGGGGGGGAAAAAAAGTGTTTTCAAACATTTTTAAAATACTTTTTTTCTTCCAAAGCCGAAGGAGCTGGGAGTTCCGATCCGCGATCTTTTTGTACTGTACATGTATTTCTGGATGTATATTTTGATATGGAGTCTGTTATATTGCTATGTGATGGACTTTTTCTCCATAGGCTTCTTGATTTACCTGGGTCAATGTTCCCGAGGCATAGAGTCGTGTTGCAGTCGGTTTTAGGATTGCAATTGAGAGGGGTGGGAGTGTTAGATGTGCAAGGCAGAGAGAAATGGGCCTCCAGAGATAACTTAGTGCCCAGAGGTTGACCCTGCCATTTCACTGGGCACTACAGCCTGGGTAGGGGTTATAGTGGCACAGTAGTGCCAATTAATTTAACTTATCTGGTGAAGCTGCCAGTTTAGACCTTGAAAGAAAAGATTTTGGATTTTGGACTAAGTATTTCACTTCTTTCAAGGTAAATTCTTTGTATGTGCAGAGTCTGTGTCACATTGCAGTGAAGATGCAGATCCATTTCTTTGTCCAAAATCCTGGAGGCCCGTATCCCCAAACCCTGAAACTGGAGTGTCAGAAAGTGTTTACAATATTTGGAACAATGGTAAAAAAAAATATTTAGAAAAGGAGCATGTGCTTTTTTAAGAAAAGAAAACTGCGTTTTGTAATCTATTTTTATTTGATAAAACCACTCCCTGTGGTGTACTGTACTATGTGGCTCCTGTATTACATCTGCATCTGAACACTATTAAGATATGATGAGGGTAATTTGTATACTGTTCTTTTTCCTTGTCTGATGCATGCTGCATGGCAAGTCATACAGGCACATTATTCTTGCTTACAGGGCATTGTGGGTCTCTAGGAAGCCTGTAATTTGTGGCATGGGTCAGAAAGGTTATGCACTGGCCAAATGTGTAAGGGTGACTCCTGTTCTTATCGCAAACCTGAACTGTATAGAAAAAACCCTGAAACAACTTTTGCATTCCCCATCTTTAAATCTTGCACCAAAAATGAATCAGCCTTGCATCATTTAAGCATTTGTGGAATTAGACTTGTTTAATTAGGAATCGCAATTTTTTTTTAAAAAAACAAATCATTGCCCACTTGGTTTTGTGGCAACGACTCCCATTCCCACGCGGGAGAGGATGAGACCCACTGACCTGACGTGCCCACCCGCACAGCCCCACAGTCAGTGGACCTGTCACAAGCTCCACGATGCCTGATGGACAGCAGCTGCTGAGAGGAGCCGCGTGTCTCTCCCTGTAAATCTCGCTACCGATCATCGGAGATGGTCAGCCTGCTGGGGGGGGGGGGACTGGAAGAGTCCCCTGTCCATTTCATTCTCTTCTAGTGCTTGGACAGTTTATTTCCTGTCTGCACACACAAGCCACATTGCTTGCTTTATTGAGCTAAAGCACACCGCCCCGGGCCAGCCAGCCATTCCTCACGGAAGTGGAGCGAGTGTGGTTTGATTCCAGGTTAAACCTTGCTGTTCACACTGAGCTCCACATGAGCCCAGCTGCAGAGAGTGCCGGCTCATGCCCTCATGTGAACGGGGCCCTGGTCGCATCAATTTCCTTTATCCACTATGCTCTGCCGATTGCGTTTGCCTCGTGACACACTGATGTCAATGTTATCGCGCATAAGCTTCCTCTTCCTTCAGTTCTTGATGATGAGCGGTCTTTTTCATTAAGAGCTGTGTGTTGGGGCTTCCCTAGTGCTTCAGGAAGTTGCTTGGCCAGGTTGAGTCTGGGTCATGTCACTAGTTGACTACGACTGCTTGCCGGGTAGTGTGGGGGTCTCTTGGCTCTTGGCAATAGTAGCCGCCAGGGGGAGCTTGGAGGCGGGAGGTGTTGTCGGTAGGGGAGGTGCTGCTTCTGCAGTTAGCTAACCTCCAGCAGGGGGCAGTGTGCAGTCACAGGGTGCTTGGCTTCGAGTCGTGTTGTGAACAACATACAATCCAGGGGGTATAAACTAAACAAATGCTTAACTTTCCATTTCTTACATTTGTGCCATGCCACAAATGTAAGAAATGCCTTCCATGCCTTCCAAAAACGCAATTAAAAAATATGAATGCGGTAAGATTGGGCTTGATTTTATCGTGAGTAGAGAAATACTGCAGATGGATTCTGCAAGGCTGACTGTGGATCTGCATTTAACAGTCAAATATAGAACCACTGTTTATGCTTGAGTGCTCATGACTAGATTAAAGGATTTTTTTATTTGGCCAGTTTCCATAATTTATCTGCTTACGCGTGCAACAGGCATCTAGTATCCCTGTTGTAATTTCAACACCACTTGGTAGTGAGACTTCTTGATTTTTCTTTTTGCGTTCTTACATTGGTGTCATGTTTTAATAAATTATGTACAGATGCAGTTTGGTATGAAATGCACATGGCGTCCTGTGTTTTATTTTTTATACAGTCACCTGAAGTATCTGTATTCAACAATTTGCCATTAAGTTCTTCGGCTGATGCTTTTATTCTAAGTGACTTGCATACCACAGCTGGGTATTTTCCTGGAGTGATCAGGCGGAAGTGCTTTGCTCAGGGGCACAACTGCAGCAGTTCTCCAGGAACTGTAGGAACTGACTTGCCAACCTGTGAGCTGTGAGCCCAAAGCCCTGATCACTTCTCCACGCTGCTGCCTCATGGAAACCAATGTTTTTGTTTACTTTTTATGTTAGGAGAAGATCAGAGAGGTTAAAAACCACTCATCCACCCAGAATCTCATCCATTAGTTTCATAAAAGCAGCTGGGGTATCGGCTTCAACATTCACTCATTCGCTGTGTTGTGCTGGGTAGAGCCTTGGAGAGATTCGGAATGCTTGTATCATCCCCTCCTTCTAAGCTTCACTATTCATGACTAAAAAGGTTTAGTCGTTCAGGACAAGGAGACTTGTCCTCACAGAAAATGAGTGCAATACACATTTTCACCATGGGAGGGCACATGAGATTTTGCAGGCTGAATTCCTGGTGTTGGGAAGTTGTTTTTTAGCCTTCCGTTTCTGAATTGTTTTTCCCAAATCTTTACAAGAATTAATTTGTTAATGACCGTCATTATAGACATCCTAGGCCCAAGAGGACCAGAGAAAAGGTAGTGTCAGTAGACATTGTTTATGTACCATTCAAGAAGAAACTCGACTTTAGCAGTTGATAAATGAGCATTATTTTCAGCAAACCCCACAAATTATACTTTCTCCTACCCTTGACATCTTGGCGCTAGATCAGATGCTCCAACACACTTTTCAAAACTCAAACTAGGTTACGAGCACTTGAATTAGGGTCTTTACTGACCAAAGGAATAAACTTTGCTGAGGTTGACTGGTCTTACTCAAATTCCCAGTTTCCTTTATTGCAGAGATCCAGTTTTTTTTTCATTTCTATCCATGTGGAAGCTCCTTCTTTTCATAGATGTTCTGCAGTTATTCGCCCTGTGCTCGTGTCCAGAATGGGGGCTGGTGTTGAATTCACCCCAGGAGGATCCTGGCTTTATTTGTAAAAACTCAGACTTTAGTTCAGAACAGAGGAGATTTTTCTGAGCCAGGTATTCAGAATCCCCAAAGGGAAACGACAAGGGTGTCATCTTTGCATGTGGAAGGCTCCATGATCATAGTGGCCAGCAGCTACATCACCCTGCAGCCTACTGAAGCTCAGCAGGTGTGAGTCTGGCCAGTACTTGCTTGGGAGCTCTCATGAGAAAGCAAAGGTTGCTTGTTGTAGATTGTTGACCAGTTGGCACCACATCTTATCAAACAATTGTAATTGGCCTGTTTTTACATGGGTTTATATCCCATTTAAATTTTGATGGAAGCAACAGCTTTCTTAAAGTGTCTCTACCACCTGAAAAGTGGGAGAACCCCTGATTCAATGTAGCCCAATGTAGAACAGTAGATCTCTCTCTTGTTTTTTTTAATTCTCCACCTTTGAATGCTAGTGAAACTTTGTTTCAGTGGAAAGGGTTTTGTGGGTCTATCCAGTAATCTGAGAAATGGGGTGTGTCTTCATTCAACAGCATTAGGTTTGATTTCCCAAATTACAGGCCCATTACAGGAACTGGCTTAAACGTGAGACATTTCCAGCCTCCTGTACTCCCCCCTCATCCCCCTCGTCCCCAGGGATAAAGGGGGGAGGTCCTACAGAAAGAATTGCGTGCGTTTCTGAATTTTGCCAAATTTCCTGTTCTGCACCTGCTCTGCGAGAAGACTGAAGGCTTTAGCTTCAGTTCCTACGGGTCAGCACTTTCAACCAGCACTTAAAAAACATTTACAGTCGAACCATTCTCGCCCTGCCCAGCTGCTTCCCATCCAAGTCCTTTATTGCTTTTGGTTTTGGCTCCCTTTGGAATGGGGACTTTTTTTTTTTACAGGAAAACAAACATCTTCCACCATAGCGGAGATGTTAATAGGGCTGACTCCCTAAAAATTCCAGGTACGGCCCCTTTTAAGAAAATATGAATAATTCCAGTGATATTTTCAGAATAAACTAAACAAAGCGGCACTTTAGAGGATACAGGCAAAGACCTGTTAACATTCTGTCTGAAAGAGGATATGATGTAAAACTTTCCTATTAGAGCTCCCGTTAAGTGGCACCAGGGACTAATATTTTGTTCCCTCTAAAATCTTTCTCTTTCGTGTCCTAGCTGTGAATCAAGGTCTATGTCTTCACCGACAGTTTTGTATTGCTCGGAGCTCTTGCTGCCCCTTGTGGTACAGGCAGGTGATGTCTCATGCTGGATCTGCCCCCAGCTTTGACTGTGTTTTTTCTTTTTGGGTTCGATTTCAAGAGAAAACACGGAGTAACTACTGCATGAAGCAAATAGGCCATCTTTTTATTTCCTTCATGGCCAATTTTGTCTGTTCTGAGAATTTTACGTTTAGAAACCTCCGTGCCATGGGATTGGATTTAGGGGGTGTATGCTTTTGGAAACTCCCAGCCCAATCCTAGAGAGCCCCAGTCCAGTAAATTGCATAGGTCAAAGAAATGTGTTCAATGAAAGCTTAAACATGAAACTCTAGCCTGAAAATACATAATCCACCATGTTTCTTGGTCTTTTTAAATCACCAACAGCCAAATGAATCACGTGAATCGTCACCAGCTAGTCTGAAAAGTGTTAAACTAGTCCAGTGACGCTAATGAACTATGAATGAATTATATCATTAAAAGCAGAAGTGGAAGGAGACAGACACTGCAGGCGAATCAGCAGTGAGCAAAGTTCATTAAGCTGATTAACATTTGTCATCAGGGTTAACCAACAGGAGATCTACAGGCTAGCAGTGTGTGGACACTGTTGAAAAAAGAACAAGCTGTATATCTACAAATGCAGGCTTGGCACAGTTTTGCAAATGCTGTCTGTGGGTTCCTTTCTTAAGTTTTTCTTAATTGATTTCCACCTCAATCAACTCTCTCACTGATTAAAGTGATTAAGCATTTGTGCAATGGTCAACATCACTCTCAGATGTCCATAATAATATCCCATCCTTTCTACAAACCACTTTATCCAAAGCAGAAGCTGGGGGAAGTCAGGGCCTAACCTGGAAAGTAATGGGCTCAGGTACAACCCGGACAAGATGCCAGTCCACTGCAGGGCAGACACACGGACACAAACTCACACCAGGGCTAATTCTCCAGAAGCCAATTAACCTACCAGCATGTCTCTGGACTGTGAGAGGAAACCAGAGCACCTGCAGGAAACCCATACAACCGTGGTGAGACCATACAGACTCCACACAGACAGCACCCCAGGAATCAAACCCAGAGCCCCAGCTCTGCGAGGCAGTAATGCTGACCACCATGGTGTCCATCTTACTAAAATGACACCCAAAAACCCATTCATAACCAAACTCCATATACTTTTTTAAAATAAAAAACAACCAAGCACAAATAGTTTATTCTGCAAATGTATTTGATAGATGTGGCATTGCATACAATGCGATTTTATCCCATCATTATCCTTAAAGCTTGCAGACAACATACCTAATTCTTAGCCATTCAAATGAAATCATACATTTCAGATTAGTTTATAGTAAGCTAACTACAATGTAAAGGCCCAATAAATAATGAAGCTCTGTAAAGATGGGCTCTGTACACAGTAAAGAAAACCAAGTTTGAAAGCTGAAAAATCTCACTGCTTCTAATTTCTCTGTCCAAATGGTGAGATGATGAAGGGTGTCTATGTGCGCGGGCATTTTGCTGATCCAAAAGGTTGTAGAAACCATCCTAAACACTCAAAATCCGCCAAAAAATCAAAAGCACGCAGCTGAGCCCAGCTTGGCTCCAGCAGTCCCTCTGAAACCACAGAGCTCGCTTTCGTCACTCCGCCCCGTCCCGGACTTTTCCGGCGCTTCCCGATCGCGTTCGTGTCTTTCCGACGGGCTCGTGTCGGCGCCGTGCTGGAACATGGCCGTGCGGGGAGCTGCTCGGCTGGAGAGAGAGGGGTGAGCGAGCGAGCGAGCGAGGCAGCGAAAAGGGAGGTTTAAGCAAGACGCTTCCATGTCTGGGCGAGGGCGCAAGGCTGCACGGCGTGGCTGAGAACCCGGCGAGACCGCGAAGAGCTCCGCTGCGCCCGGCGGCTCGACGGGGAGGGAAAAAAAGTGGTCGTGGGTGAGTTTCTCTAAAGTTCTTCTCTACCCCCCCAAAAAATTGTAGTGTAGCGAAACTGAAAAATGGTGGAAGGAAGTGCTGCCGAGCTACAAGTGTGCAGGACCTATGCGCAGAGAAGTGGCTGGGGCTGAGGTGCCTGCGGAGAAGTCTGGAAAACGACATCCGCGACTGTGTCAAACCCGCGTTTGCGCCGCTGATATTGTTAGTTTGCGCCGGTCGGCACACTGAGCGTGCCAGCCCCTCCAGCCGCCGCGCTGTTCTGCAAATGGAGAAATGCAGGTACTTCAAGCTCTTGAAATGTACCACACACACACACACGCGAGAAAGAAACGCAATATTTCGCCGTTTGCGATCGCCGAAGTTTTAGCTGAACTCTTTGAGGTGGATGATCTCGGGGGTCTGAGGGAACCTCCCTAGTTAAGATACCTCGTTGTTTCATAGTTACTTGAGTTTTGTTCAACTATCTTTGAAAAGATATGGGTTGGGGGGGGGGTAGGTGGATGTCTTTTTGCGATTATTGTCTGAACGTTTTAAATGCGACTTTCAGTTTTGAAACTTTTTTCACTCGAATCATATCAAACCCGTTACTTGTTGGCCCTTTTGGACGAACTTTGCTGCATTTTTGTTTTGTATCTCGTCCCAAAAGCAATTTGGCTGCATGCCCGGTGCTCAGACCCAGCTCGAACGCTCTTGCAGCCTCCCGTTTCTCGCATAGAGCTGCTGATCCTGTACTGTTGGAACAGTTTTTAATGTATCCATGCAGTGTAACGATATTTATCTTTATTATAGTTCGTGCATATTCGTGTCCCAACTTGGAGAACTTTCATTGTTCTCTCTTTTTAAGCCGACCGACCGATTTTACCGTTTTTTTTAAACGCAAAAAATATTTGTCGGGAAAGCTGTCGGAATAATGCAACATTAATCGAAATATATATAAATTAAAGGGTGGTAGGTATTTGTCGGGTTGTTTTGCATGTAAAGTCTGTGGTATTCTCTTGAAATGAGAAATTAAAAAAGTGTGTGCAGTTACTGCAATAGGACAGCCTCGGATTTATTTATACAAGTTTCTATTCCTTATTAGATTTCTGTGTTTAGCCCATGAGAACCCATTTGGAGCCTTATCATACAGGTGTGAATAGACCGTTAATAATCAGCTACTGACTGATCCACTAAAAGCAAACAGCTTTTTTAATAGACATGAATGTTTAACCTATTTATCATGGTGATTATCATCGTGATCATCATTCCTAAATATAACTTACTGCAGCAGCAAGGCTTATCGGTGGTTAAAGTTTTGGTCAGTTTGGTTTAGTATTTATCTGAAGGAGGAACCTGCAAATTGTTAAATACCTGCTGAACGTGTTAAACCATCTTCTGACTTCAAGGGTGCTCAGATATTTCACTTCGTGAAAGGAGGCAGACTATTGAACTGCACATGATAGCAGCCAAGTCAGGCGAGAGGAAGCTCATTTATATACGTTTTTTTTAAAAAATAAACCACGGATGTCAACTGGGCTTGTTTTGTCTGGTGCGGGATATTGGATCCGAAAGGAGGCATGTTGTGCCTATCGGACTGTATAAAAACAAACGTGTTTGTAAGACGGGTGTCAGATTCTCCGTGCAGGGCATTAACCCCTTCATCACCTTTGCCTCATGTTGGCGGCGGTGAATCTCCAGTGGGGGGCGTCGCCGTGGCAACGGGGAGCCCGGGGTCACGATCCCGAGCTCTTCTCCGAGCAGAGCCGCCGCCCGGTTGATGCTGGGGGGGGTGGGTCATCCCCCGCTGTGCGTGTGCAGGCCCGCTGGGGCCAGCTGGGTCTTCCCTGCTGGTCTCGCTGGCGCGTGATCCGGTGAGCTGTCTGGACCGCTGGTGTCGGTGGCCGGATCTCCTGTTTCTAGGGGGCACACACCTGGCAGACCCAAATCGCGAGGTCTGGCTTTTTCAAGAACCGTCTTGCAACCGTTTTTTATAGACCGGGACGGTGCCCTTTGCTTTTGGGGAAAGCACCCAGTCTCATGGGGCCGAAGTCTTGTTTGTCCCCCGAGCCACAGCTTGGCATTTGGTATTTCACAGTCAACGAGGCCTTGATCACGGGCAGCGTTCAGCTTTCAAAGAGAAGGCGGAGTTAAAGACCACCGACAGGGCAGGACAGCATTGCCTTCACTGGGCAGAAGAATCCTAGGGGCACCAAGGCAGGCTCGTGGGGCGTGAAGAAGAGTTCATGGAAATCGCAGCTCAGTGGGGCACAGTGGCGCCTCCTTGTGGCCAGGGCACAGGTGCGAGTTCAGAGTCGTTTGTGAAAATGAAGCTGCAAGGGGTCCAGCCTCGAAGAAATGTGAAGAATTTGAGCGAATACCGACACCAGGTCTTTCGGTGTTAAAGTACGAGTTATAGATCTCTTCCTCATCGAAGAGGCGTGTTTTCCCATTGTCTAAATTCCGAAAATGTTCAGGATTGTCTGTCACGGAGGTCAGTGAGCTTCGAGTAGCCGACCAGCTATGCATAGGATTCCTCCTCAGAGCATCAGGTCTGATTTTTGCTGCTCACATTTGCAAACGACTTGGACGTTATGATGTACAGACATCTTTAAATGTGTCTTTTTCTCAGTGTGTCAAGTGTCAGTGTGTTTTACTGTGCATTGAAAAAGCCTTTTTGCAGACTTCAGGTGCAGTTGTTGCAGTGCAGTCCTGTTTCTGCATGACTTTTTTTTCCCATGAACAGTCCCAGGAAAAAAATGCATTGACATGTTCTGCAGAGCAATGTAATGGGTAAATTGTTTGGAATCCATTACTTAGTAGTGTGCAGGTGTATATGTAAAGAAAAGTAGGTATTTGTATGGTCCTTTTACAGTTCTGACAGGAACATATACACGCGGGCCCTCTGTGTTACAGTAACTGTCCTTCATAGCAGATGCAGTTCCTCATGTTCCACATGTTCTGTAACCACTGAGCCCTGTGACAGCAACACTAAGCGGGCCCAGCTTTACCTTCAAGCCGCTGGATGAGGTTATCTGAGGGGTTAAGAAAAAGTTGTGCATTTTTTGGGGGGCTTCACGCAGCACTTCAAAGGCAGAGACGAGCACGATCCCCAGCCCCCAGTGCCAGCTTGTTGAAAAATGTTTGGTTACGTCCTTTTTGTTAACAAAACGTGCACTGAGCTAATGTGCTGTGTCATTAAGCAGGCTGGGATTTGTATGCTCAATCCTGGACGTGCATTATTGCAAGCCACAGTGTTATTGTAATTACTCCTGCAGTAATTCAGGAATATGTGCTCTCTCTGAGTTCTAAGTAACTGAAGTGTGAAGAAGGTGGAGTTGTGGGGTCAGACACTCGATCGCTGCCTAGATACATTTTCTAATATTAGAACATTTCCTTGATTTGTTAGAGCTTCTCTGGTGATTTAGTAGCACATGTTGGCAGGCCACCCAATAGGAGGCTAGGATACAATTTAGCATTCTCTCTCTCTGGCAACAGCGAGTTTCTCTCTTTTATTTATTTTTTTTTGCCTGTTTGCGCCTCTGAACTGCATAAAAAAAAATGAAAGAATTGCAAAAACCGGAGGTCTGCAGCTCCTGCTCAGAAAGTCTGCTGCACTTACTTTCCCGGGCTGTAATTATGATTATGATTATTTTAATTGCTTAAGTTTAGTGTGAGAGTGTGTGTGTGTGGAGGGGGGGTGTAGGGGGAAGAGTGGGGGACAAGGGGGTGCTTTTCAAATGGAAATAGATCGGTACAGGAGCACAGAAACGCCAGCGTCTGCAGCAATGTTGCAAATTTGGGAGAAAAAAAGCCGGGAGCAAAGGATTTTGGGGATGGATGGCGTGAGGGATCTGCGCTGTGGTTGGGTCTGCCGGTGCCACGTGCCCGCGCTGGCAACTTTGCACACAGGGGTTGTCAAATTGCGTGCCTGCTGTGCCAGCCGAGTGGCCATTCTGCTAGAGCTGGGGTGAGTGCTGTCCGGAGATGGAGTGCGTGCCGGTGTACAAGAGTAATTGTGTCATTAGCGCGAGCGCTCATATTGCACGGAGCGGGGCTTTGCAGGTGGTCAGGGGTGTGCGCGTCGGAGTTTGCAGTTCAGGTCGGATGACTCTTCCCGAAGGTAAGGAGAGGGGTGAGGAGGGGAGGGCACCGGGGAAGGAAACGGCTCTCAAGTGGAGCCTTAATTTCATCCCCTTTTGCCCTGCCCTGGGAGCGCCCAGCTGAAGAGAGAGGCGGAAAGCGGGGCAGGTGGGTTTCCCTTTCCCCTGGAAGACGGTGGTGAATTGTGACGTCTGAAGGTTTACCTGAACGCAGCCCGTCTCCAGACCACCCTGCCCCCCCCTCTCGAGAAGTCCTCGAGCATCACCATGCGTGCCGGTAAACAAGCCCGCCGTCTTGTTTTACAGCGACCCTGCGGCGCACGGGCGTGATCTGACCCTCTCGCTCGGCGAGCCCGCTAACACCACTTCCTCCGGGCTGCTCGTCTCGCCCTTTCCTTTTTTCTTTACCGAGAGTCCGCTGCACCCGCAGAAAATAAAAATACCCCCCCCCCCCCCGTCTGTCCAGTGTTTCAGAGTTAGTCTCCTGCCCCTTGACGCACAGAACCTCTCCCACAAAGCAGTCCCCTCGCTCCACCTTGCACTGGACTTCGGATTTGAGACGGGGGGGAGGGGGAGAGATTTGGTCACGCGGTTCCATTTTCTTACGCCGGGCTGCTGATCCGCTTTGCAGGGCTGGCAGTGTAAATGGTTTCGGCTGCCTGTGGCTCAGTGGAGGCTGATAAAATGTTCCTGGGTGACGTTGCTGCGCTGCGAATTCATTGATCTGGGAGTCGGGCAGGGAAGGCCTGACATGGGTCTGGAGTTATTTCATCTGACTGGGAGTCGATGATTAACTAGGACACATGGAGCGGTGGCTTTTCCTGATGAGGAAGAGCACGTCCACATTTCTGACATGCTTAGGACTGGGAATTAATAAGCTGAAAGGCTTTGTGGTCAGCCTGTATTGTTATACTTTCATTT